CGTCGTTCCGTTGCCAACGCTCGCTTCTAGTCAACCATTCGCCACTCTCCTCTCTCTATCTCCCGGCGTTGCTATTTTCGGGCACCGAATCAAAAGACACCGTCAGGCCGGAACAACGCGGAAACGTTGGTCGTTGTAGTAGCTCGTTTCGTATAAAAGTGTAAAATGGAACGGTGATTTTCCTCCTTGGAGTATCGGGCCGATGACGTTCCTCTCGCTTCTGGCTGCGTCCTATCCTTGGACGTGGTCCTGGCTGGCATCGTGCACGTACGCTCCTCGTTTCCTGCGCCGGTGAATCCCCACCTCCCTGAAAGGATATCGGGCCACGACTGTAAAACGAGACACCCACGTTCGCTTTGCCACCGTTTAATCGGCGGAACGACTTTGGATTTACGCGACGCGTATCGTACGCTTCGACTCTCTCGACCGTACATCGATTCGCTACGCTCGTTCGCGAGACACTCGACGGTCCAACCTCTGTTTTTGTCGAGGCTTCACGGAACAGACATGATCCAATTTGCCTCTTTAACGAGACTTCTTTCGAACCGAGTCTGTTGCCCACTCCTTGGGTCCTCCCAGAGTTCCTTCTTCAAAGACATTCATCCGCGGAGGAATGTTTTATAAAGAGAGAGAGACGAGAAACATTGAAACTTTTAACGCGCTTTTCAAGTTCAACCAACCGTCTAATTCATTGTTCTCGGTCGGACACGTCCGCGTGTTCGAAGCGACGATACTTTTAGTAGATATACACGATTGAAATTTCATCGTTCGAAGAGGAATCCGCTCGCGATTTCAACGATGCTTTTGCGCTTTTTCTTTTCCTTTCTTTTCTTTTCTTCTCCTCTCTGTAAAGCGACGCGTCAAAAAAGATTCGAGAACACGGTGCGGAAATTGTAAACCTTTTATTATGCCACGGCGAAAGCTAACGTTCCTGTTTATTTGCCGCCAAGATCGACGAGCATTTAAATCCGTTGAAAAAACCTGCAGCTTCCTCTCGATAACGATAACGCCGAGGGAACTCGAGCGGATTTTTTCCCGTCGATCGATTCCGAATTCCACTCCGAACGAGAAAAAAAAAAGAGTTTTCCCACCGACAGTATAAACATTTAAACAAGCTAGTTAATCTGGGACTTGCCACCTTCGTCTCTGCGCTTTCTTTCCCCTCCCCCTCTTTCTCTCTTTCGCATTTCGTTCTTTCGTTTTTCTTTCCCTGTCGTATACTCGCAAGACTTTTCTTGCCAAAAGTGGCAAGCGAAAGAAGAAAGCGTCGGATGCTCGATCTTGCTACAGCTCGCGTTTCGGTTTCTACGAATCTCATTTGCAACGGCCGACATTCGACACGGTCCGCGATTCCCCCCCTCCGACTGGTGGACAAAAAAATGAAGGGAGAAGTTGGATCGACGCAGCACCCGAGCCATATTTTTCTCACCCCTTCTCCTCTCCTTCCAACTCGTGCTCTCTTCGATGCTTCGTTCCGACGCAACGCCCAACGAAAAAGAGAGAGAGAGAGAGAGAGAGAGAGAGAGAGAGAGAGACGAGAAAAATAAAAAGAAGAGAGAAAAAAATATAGTCGGGTATTTCCATTCAACGAGAAAGAATCGAGTACAACGGAAAAGCATCGACCCTGCCTCTGTCCCACGGTTACCGATATTCATTCCCGCGCGATCGAATGGCAATGGGAATAAGCGCATCTCGTCCGCGACATGGAATCCACGAAAACCGGGAAAAGAGAGAGAATTTGCCTGTCGTGGCCGTGAATCCTACAATTGTCCGCGTTTCCATCGAAAAATTCCCTCTTCGCCGACCTTTCTCTTCCCGAACAATATAAATATTTCACGGAGAAGAATAAGGGTAGAGTGAGATCATTGCCGATTTTACCGAGTCTATCTATCCTCTTTACGCCACGGAGATAAACGTTTCCCGGAGAGCCTTAAACCGAGATAAGGAAATGTACGCGATACCTTCGAAAAGTCGTAAAGTTCGCGGGATTTCCATAATGCAAACCTGCCAGACGTATACGATATAGGATGCGATATGAGTGCGGCGACACACGAGTTCGTCCATTCCTTTTTTTCCTTCTTGGGAAAAGAGATGCATCGTGAAACCGAGTTCCGATATCGGAGTACGATCGGTAATGTTTACGGCGTATTTGCGTTTTCTCGCCGCCGCCCGATGCTCCTCCCGATTGCAGGGTAAAGGGAAAGGAGAAGCGTCGCTACCGATACTTGTGCACTCGCGTCTAATGTAACAAGCTTTCCAACGATACGTGTATTCGTGCGCGCCGGCCAACCACGTACTCGCCCTCTCTCTGCCAAAGAGATAGAACCCCTGTTTTACCTCTTCCCGACCTGGCTTTCGTCAATGATAGCGTCTGCCTTGTTGTGCGCAATCGATCACGTTGTTTCGCGTAATCAAACTTTTACAAACTACCGCCCCCGACGTGAAAGTTTAACGTTACGCTCGTTCGAGAGGAATTACGAGATACAAATGTACCTCTACTTGGAACAAATTATCACTTGCGGCCATTCTGCCGCACGAGGAAGAGAAAGCGTTGAGAGAAACTACGAGATTGGAAAAAAAAAAACTTGCCGTTGAATACCGATTTCGGAGGCGATCAACGTTCTACCTTTGTCCAACGGAATGCCTACGAGGTACGATTCTCATCTACGAACCCGGTTCCATTCTTCTCGAATCGCGAGGAAAATAGTTGGAGGCATAAATCATCATAGCGACGTAAATATTGCTTTTTCTCCATCTCTTGGCGCGGAGAAGGCGGATGATTCGAGCGGACTTTTTCCCACCAAACGATTCACGGAACTTGCGTCCATTCTCGCATATACAACGATGACAAAGAGATTGTTACGTCCCGTCACCGATTTCTTTTCGGGCGAATCGCGATAGCTTTACGACTGATCGTTCGAGCTCGTCACGTACGAGCCGTGCATTGAATCGCGAGAATTCGAGTCAAGAAGAACCCGTGGGATCGAGCACGATTGAAACGTATGAATGTATCCCTCGCTTTTTTTCCCCCCTTCCCTCCTGTACCGATTCGATCGAATCCTTCGTTCGCGATCGCATACGCGAAAGAAGGGAGACGCGGGGGGATGCTCGCGACACTGCAAGGACTCTGTAGATCCTCTCGAAATAGTGTTGCACGCAAAATCCATAGGATGCCAGAGAAAAGCGCGTGCACGCAGGCGGGAATGCTCGTGCGAAAGAAGCGGCAGTGAGTCGGGAGAAGTTGTCGGGTTCGTTCGTCATAGACGGTTGACCGGCGTGGAAAAAATTATTCAGTCTCCCGAAGTGTTGGGCCAAAATTTGCATCCGCGAATCATGACTGCCGCTCGTATATCCTACCGGGTTGACGAGAAAGCCCGTGGACCCGTGTAATGGCTCACGTACGCGAACCGGAGCACGCGGCTGAAATTTAAACCGTCACTACCACTAGCATCCCTAGTATCATTGTCGCCGCCGCCGCCACCACCACTATCACCACCACCACTACAACCACCACCACCACCACCACCACCATCATGATCGGAGCAACACTACCACCACCGCGATCAAGTATCGTGGCAAGCGATATCACTGTCCACCCTCGTCGTCACCCTCGCGTCGTGTCGCGAAAGGAAGAGAGAGGAAGACGGAGACGCGCGAGCAGGCAAAGAAGAATGAAAGGAGAGACGGACGGACGAGAGGTTGACAAGCCCAGAGACGACACCGGCGTCGACGTTGGAACGATGTTGCAGAATTTCGCGCAGTATCGAGTCGAAACGCTTGGCCGAGTCGCCGATGTTTCGCCCTCTTCCCTTCCCCTTCTATCCCGCCTCGTGTCGTGGAAATTTTTACCGTATCGGCCGTAACAGTTTGGCTGC